AAATGTAAATGAACAAAAGTAACTTCTTCACAAAAGACACAGTCAACCTGTGAAACTTGTTGCCAAGGGATGTTGTGAAGGCCAAAATTATAACTGGATTCAAAAAAAGAATTAGATAGGTTCACAGAGGATAGGTTCATCACTGGCTATTAGCCAAGAAGGTCAGGGATGCAACCCCTTGCTTTGGGTGCCCATAGGCTTGTGCTAGATGCTGGAAATGAGTGCCAGTGGATAGATCACTTGATAATTGCCCTGTCCTGTTTATTCTTCTTAAAGCATTTGGCATTGGCCCCATTCAAAAAACAGGATTCTGAGCTAGATGGACCATTGGTTTAACCCAGTACTACCATACTTATATTCCTATTCCAAATTTTTGTGCTGGCAAAGGACAGACCAGCTACTACAATGTTGTTTAACATTAGGAAAGTGAAAGACGTTTATTCAGGTAAGTGTGTAACCACTGAAAAACCTAGTGGTTAGATGTTTACATGGGGCGGGGGAAGACGGCTCTCCTGGAGCCAGTGCGCGCAGGGAACTGGATTTTACTCAGGCTCCCCGCAAAAACCAGCTCCTGCCTGCCTTCTCCCTGCTGTGCTGCTGCCTCTGATATAGAGGCAGCAGTGCAGCGAGTGGGTGGGGTTATGTAACTGTGAAGATTAACATATGAGCACAGGCTCATTGTCTAACCCAGTGGTGCACAACCTTTTTTCAACCGTGACCCCCACGGCTAGGCCCGGCCATTGGTGGCCTCTCGGTGCTTAGATACAGGTGCTGCACAGTGCAGCGCTTAGATCCAGGTGGCTGGGCCCAGCCATTGGCAGCCACATGGTGACCTCCCAGGAAAACATCCACGACCACCTTGGGGGTCACGACGCACAGATTGCACACCACTGATCTAGCCATTAACACATTTACACTATCACATCCCTGCAAGAGACCCTAGGCATGACTGCTTGGTAGCACAGAGAATTATATGCAGCGAGATGGACATTATTAGTTAGTGAGGTCATAAATATTATTTGAAAACAATATAGCTCTGGTTTTAGATTTACCTATTGAGCCATGCTTTCTGCTAAGCAAAGACTAAAATACCAATTAAATCTAAGCAGTCCTTGAGTACTTTTGTATCTTTCCAGAATCTAGGAATAGTACATTTCATTTTACTCCGCTTGCTTCAATAGCTCTTGGTCAGTTGCTATGCATAATTTGGAAGCTGAGAACAAAATAAGAACTAGATAAATGAGACATAGTAAAATCTGATCATAAAGACTTTGGAACAAAGGCTTTCTTCTTATGTGTTTGTACAGCATCCAGCACAATGAGCTCTGATCACAATCCTGTTGAGGGCTTTGAATACCACCTTAATATATATAAATAAAAATAAAGTAGTCTGAAGGATACATTTTTTTTTGTTCTCTTACAAATAGTTTGATTCTTATCTAGTTCACACACTTGCTTTTCCTTACTACCAAGACTGTATTTTGCTATGTGAAGTGTTTTGCTTTGAAAATGATTATTCCATATACCATGATGTCATGGGGTCCACTCACCACAAGGGCGCTTATGCCTAGCTGCTTTATGGATTAGCTCCTAACAGATCCAGCACCCAGTTCTCCTTGTTCATGCACCCTGCCACTCTTCTCTGCATCACTGTCTGATCTCTCTTTATGGTTTGGCCCTCTAAGTTCTTCCTTTCTGAGGAATTAAAGTCCTCAGCCACCTATCCCTTCTGCTCTCTACTCAGATGTGTCACTTCCCCCCACGGTGTTTGGTAGGGGAACCTGCCCTCTATTCCAGGATCCAGTTCAGGGACTTTATGTCTGGCAACTGCCATCTGCTTTCCCTCAGAGCCCATTGTTCTTCCCCTGGACTCCTTTCTATAGCTACTAGCCGAAATGCCCTCCTCCTAGGGATGAGGTATAGATTACTGAACACTATAGCCTCAAACACACCTCCCTGGCCTCAATGAGTGACTATAGTCTACTTCCCCTGTTGCCAATTTTCTGGTTTTATATCCACCCCACCTGTTCCTTCTCAGCTGGGCCCCATCTTCAATCAGCCTTTCAAGCCCAGGCTCTCCCCCAGGTGCAGCATTTCCAGTTAATTAGCCTAATTTACCTGTTCTGCCTTGTGTGGATTGAACACCCTCAAACATAACTTTACATATTTATTTTTCCTCATGCTTTATTGCTTTGCATATTTACATGAAAACAGGATCTTTGTTTAAGAATTCCTGTTTCTTATTTATCATAATTAGTTGTTGTAGAGATGACTGTGATATCACATACAGAGGGTTGTGATGGCTTCACATGAGGCATATATGGCAGGAACAGAGGAAAACTCTAAGAAACTAAACTCTTATTTTCATACAAATAACCTTATTTACTTAGTAATAACGGATGAAGAAAAGGGAGTAAATATATAACATACATTATAGCAGAAATGTTTCAAATTTGAGAGCCTTTAAGATAAGCAGATGACATCAGCTTTTCTTTAAGGTTATAATAATGCTTTACACATTTATTTTTGCATCCTGACTACTAAAGGATGGGCTTTGTATACACTGACTAGATTTTTTCCACTTATATTTTTTTAGTACTGCAAGCATCAGTGCATCTTCAAACATTAGTATTAATATAGATCGGCTACTGGAATTCCAGCCACTGTATTGTCCAACTCAGCAGACAAAATGGTTAATGTGCTGTTACTTTTTCTACCCTAGCATTCCCAATGTTAGTACCGCAAGCAGAGCTGTATTGTATTGACATTTTATTTAAAAAATAGTTTGGTATGGACATGGTTATACAGTGATCACTTCAACCATCACTGAAATGCAGCTAGTTCTGCGGTGGAATACGATAGCTGTTTAACAAAATAATACTATGCAATAACTTAGGACATGATTGAAGCAAAGAAGAATAGAATTACAGAGGTAATTTAAGTAGAAAAAATGATAATTACTAAAGTTGGAATATTTGGCCAAATCATTGGCACATTACAATGCACTATTAAGAACATAAGAGCATAAGAATGGCCGCACTGGGTCAGACCAAAAGTCCAGTCTGCCGACAGTGGCCAGCACCAGGTGCCCCAGAGAGGGTGGACCAAAGACAATCATCAGTGATTTGTCTCCTGCCATCCTTCTCCAGCCTCTGACAAACAGAGGCCAGGGACACCAATTCTATCCCCTTGCTAATAGCCTTTTATGGACCTAACCTCCATGAAATTATCTAGCTTCTCTTTAAACTCTGTTATAGTCCTAGTCTTCACAGCCTCCTCTGGCAAGGAGTTCCACAGTTAAATTTGAAAAGTCAATGGACAGACCACTTCTGTGCTTCACTCTGCCATCTGTAAAACGGAGATATATTTCCAGTCCTTTGTAAAGTGCTTTGAGATTTTATATGAAGATAGAGGTAAAAGATGAGCTATGGCTTCAACTATAACCTACTAAATTTTGAAACTGGGGAGTTTAACTCAAATGGCACTAGTAATATTTAGAAGCTCCCTATAACTTAGGCTCCAGAAACCTTGTTTCCCTGAAATCTCATCATGTGTCAAGACAGCGCTTAAGTACCAAACACCTTCAGCTCTTCCAAGAAAGTTGGGATCCCTCTCATTTCAACTTCTTGGCTCTCCAATAGATTTCACTTGCTTAAAAATTCATCAGGTGGTTTACGTGGAAGTAGGAATTAAATCTGAAAGCACTTGCGCTTCAGTTGAAGGTTAAATGCTCCATTTTCACTACTGCTTTTTGCACGAGGAGGGATATCAAAAGTTCCCCTTAAACTTGGCATTTTAGCTCAGGATACAATTCATTTGTTATACTTAATCTCATTCAGTTCAGGATTAAAAAGCCTGATGACAAGTAGTATTCAACATTGTTAGGCATATATTTACATTATAGAATACACTAAGATATTGCTTGTTTGAGGAAAATAAACTTGTTTTTTTTAGTTTTTAATAGGGATGTTAAAATGGTTAATCATAAGCCTCCTGCTTACCAGTGGGCTTAACTGGTATGCTTAATGTTTAACTGGCCCCGATGAGAAACCTATGGCAGCGGCCAGCCTCACTGGGTTGGAACCACCCTGGCCATGGAGGGCGTTGTGGGACTGGAAGTGGGATCTGCGACTGCAGTGACATAGGAAGCAGGGCCCCCTAGTCACAGCAGAGTGGGGTAGTAGGCCAGGCTGCAAGCCAAGCATTAAAACTGTTAAATAACTGTTTTTAAACGGTTATGCTTGGATTTGCCCTCAAAATATCAAGAATATCAATAATGGTCTCTCTTCATATTGCTAAATGTTTTAGATGTGGAACATGAACTTTCAGCCCTTGATAAGGCAGGGATATTCATTCCACCACTTCACTCTGGTATTATAGTTATAAATCCATCCTCCTGACCAATCTAAAAATCACTTCCTCTCATATTTCACTTGCATGGTATCACCAGTATATAATGATAATTCTCCAGGAGAAACAGACAAAAATTGCAATTTCTATTATAAAAGGAAATGGGATAAAAAAAAAACCAAAGACTCTGAAGATATGGGAAATCTCTTCTGAAGATCAGTCTGTGGGAACATCTGCAATGTAAGTGAACACATTAGCCCCATAATTTTCTACGCTGCAATTCTAGACATGGAAATTTTAGAACACAAAATGCATTTCCAGTTTTTGCTTAGATTTTGAAAGTATTAATCACACTATTTGATACTGTGCTTTTTGGGGGAGTATTTTCAAGACGAGTGTTTGGAAAGAAATCCAGCCTTTCAAAACTTGACCCAGTAACATTGATAGTCACCATTGATCAACTCAGAAAAGTATCATATGGCTGTCCTGATGTCACAATATTATAACACTAACATCAATGATTACCTCAGAAAAGGCTCTAAAGCCACTGTTCAAACAGCAGCTGAGTCTCTGCCTCAAAGACAGAAAGATCAGTATTAACATTAACTGCTGAGTAGCAACTGAAAAAAAGTTTAAAATAACCAGACAGATTCAAATCAATTAGACAACTTTTACTAAATGAAAAACTACATTTAAAATATGCATTAAAACAAAATGGAATTAGAAAAAAGAAATCCATTTTAAAGAACTTTTTCACTGTCAGAAATCATTCTCTTGCATTATAAACTGTGCCAGTTCATAAAGTGTATGTTGCCAGAATCCTCAAGTTAACATTTTCAAAGACAATATTGAAGCCAAGTTTTATATCCACTGTTGCATTTAGAATGGTATAAATCTGAAATCTTCCCTCAAAGGATCTTACAAAATTTGCCATATTCGATAAAAACTTTTATAATCATACCCAATAGTGTTACATACTAATATCAGAAATCCGTGTCTAACAATTTTTACTCCACTACTATCTTTGTGACTTCCCTATACCTTGCCACTTGTCAATATGAACTTTAAGAAAGAAGAGAACAGGAAAAGAAATACTACATAACTCTTGATCATGTACAGAAATTATTGCTACTATAGTACACTACAAAGCAAAAGTCTATACAATATATGAACTTTGATCATGAAAATCCAGGATATAATCTTAACTGACATAAGCCTTACAATCATGTAGAACATTCACATGGCAATATTAGACAGTTCAACCACCAGTCAGTTAACCTACTGTTCACTGATCAACACCCATTTAAATACACCCTCTTATGAAAAAAATTCAGCTTTCCAAGGCTTATCAAATAAGGATCTTCATGTTTTGTGGAGCTATGCAAGATGCATTTTGATGCAGACAGGATGTTACTGGGAAGCTAAGCATGCCAAAGGTGTTTTCGTGCTAATAAAACCTAAAGCCAAGGTACCACAATCACGTTACCAACTAAAGGCAATACCATTTTTGTCTTAAGTGAAGTGCCATTGCACGGTGTCATGTCAATAATTTAAAACAATGTAGTGCGCAAATTTGTCCTGTGGCAATTTAAGTTAAAAAGGAAGAGAGAATTTTCTGTCTTTCAATGTTGACTGTCATGGTTTGCAGTCAGGGTGCTTTTCTGGGTCACTAATATAGATACTGTTTGCCTTTTTTATTCACTATCATACTATCACCTTTGTTACAATGGGGCACACATTTACGTTAGCAAGATTACAAAGATTGGGGAAAGAAATCAGTGGCTGTCCTAAAAAGCCCCTTCCGTATTTCACTGGAAGCAAGCCAGGGAACATGACTAAATACCATATTTGCATCATTCTAGCTACAAAATAACCAAAGTAAAAGCAATCAAGCAACAATAAGACCACATTACACAAATTGAACATCATGCTCTCATCTGGTTTAAGTATTACATTAAGTTTTAACTGGGATGTTGGTCAACTTTAAAAACTGTGATAAGTGAACATGTAATTTAATAGATTTTTTTCATCTGGATTTTACTCTATGTTGGATATTAGAACTTGGAGCTATACTTGTTACAATACAGTGTCGCACATCTTTCTACTAGAAAAAAATTAGTAAAGATCCTTTACCCGTCTCTTTAAGTTAAACGTGTGACATCATAAAGGGTGTCAAATGGCTGGATGGTTTTACAGTGCACACTTATTATATACTGTAATATGGAGTTTTGTCCTTGATAGATCTGATGTTTTGACATAGTTCCTTTCTTCACCTCTTCTTTGGTGGATTAGCTGTACGAGGTGGAGTGACTGGACGTCCAGAATTCAATCCACCATACTGGTACTTGGCTTTCTTTTCAGATGGTTTCAATATCTTTGGAGGGGAAAAAATCCAAGGAAACATTTTAGTAAGTACATGACAATTGAGATGCATTCCATATATTACTAGTCAATGTGACTGTTCAAATTTTTGACTGCATTTTTATTACCTTTGAGGAGCAAAAACAAAGAACATAAGCCTCACCACCCTGTTTATTTCTGTAGTCCTCTCATGTCTCCACATATCATCCTCTATAGACTGACTTCATTTCCAAATGACTGAGAAAGAAGATTAACTCAAGTTCTAAATGTGCACCTGAGAACGCAGTGGAGCTAGCATATGGCAGCTATGAAACATGGAAAGTTTATTTTCAGGAATTCCAAGCCTCTTAAAGAGCTCACTGGGTCAAAATTGGTTTGATACCAGCCTGCTGTGTAGTAGTGTCTTCTGCACTTACTTTCCATTAGTGGTGCAAGTTTAGTGCCAATTTATAGTTTCTATACACCTGTCTACTGAAAAAAGCACAGTGACTACATTTTAATCTAGTAGCATAGTATACCTGAAAGGAACACATCAAAGTTTCATCCACACTCATCATGCCTCCAGCATTATCAAACTCGCCGCAGTAATTTGGAGCCGAAAATAGGGTAACCAACTGTCGTTTAGCAAAGAATTCATATCCATCTTCAACCACCTGTCAAAGGGAAGGGGAGGAAAACGGTTAAAGTCAATAAGCTATCTAAAACAAATCTTGCAAGAATTAGATTCATTCTACCAACTAAAGTTCTCAGGCAGGCTCCAATTGCTTATGTTATGGAAGAGACAAGTAGGCAGTAGAAGGAACATTATCTAATGAGTGGAGGTGAATACAGACCACTGGGATGTCATGCCATATCAGAAAAAAAAATATATGAAATCAAACTTAAAATCTACAGCTAACATGCTGATAAATCTGATTAAGATTTTCAGATTTGAAGTTTGATGAATATGCTTTCAATTGATAACATTTGGTAATCTTATACAGAGTACAAAAGTTTTGTAATTCAAACAAGTGTTTTAGATAATTTTAACAGATATCACATTACTACTGCATTCCATACAGTTCTCACTATATTCTGGTACCATTCACCGAAACCCGAAAGATGGAGGAGGTAGTCTTTTATTGGACCAACTTCGGCTAATGAGAGGGACTTTCAGGCAACGTAGAGCTCTTTTTCAGGTCTGGGAAAGGCAGTCCTCCCAGCAAAATTCAAGGTGGAACAGATAGATTAGTATATATGCTAACTGCTTAAGAAATTATTTTACCTTGAATCATCCCTTAGGTTAACACCTCTGCAGTCATAAGAGGCGGTTAGCAGGTTACAAGCGGTTATAAGCTAGAGCTAGTGTTTGTTCAGTCCATGGGTTTTCAGTTTGTCTTATTTCCTATGTGAATTTATTTGAAAGCACAGCAATAGTGTAGTTTTACCCATGAGTTATCAGGGCAGTGAGTGTACTGGATGAGATACATAATATGTTGTGATAAGTACATGTGGGATTCATGGATCTTGAAAGATCTGTTATGCGTGGGGGGTGCAGGCACAGGGAAGTAGGTCTCTGTTGTGGTAGAGATATAGAGTTTTACATTTGTTCTAGAAAGGTCTGGTACCATTGTGAATTAGGGACGTAAGCGACTAGTCAACTACCCAATAAGCCTAAGCTTATTGTGTAGTTGAGTCATTACTCAGCTAGTTGTTTCCCCTTTCTGACTGCCTCTGTACCACAGGCAGCAAATGGGGGGTAGGGGGGAGAAGAGCCATCTTAAAAGCTGGTTCCCCTCAGCACCATCTCCACAGGGGAGGCAGAGGTGCAGAGGGGGAAACGGCACGAGCCAGGACTGAGCAGTCCCAGACACTGGCTCTGCTTTTTAAATGTAGTAAGAGCTGCCTGACTTTAAAAGCAGAGGTACAGGATCTTGGACCAGGCCTTTAAAAAGCAGAGCTGCAGCAAACCTCCTTATCGACTACTTGCTTAGCTTCTTAACCACTATTTAATATCCCTACTTTGAATCGGTGCGTCCTTGTCTACTTAAGCTTGCTTATGATGAGCTTGAAGAGTTGTCTGAAGAGCAGAAGTGGGGATTTCTGAAAGACTTCTTTCAGGATGTGGTCCCCTTCGAATATGGGTTGTAGTCTGAGATCCTGTATGAATTTCAATGTGAGGGGATAGATAACTAGGAGGAAGGAAGGGGGGAGGGGGGGGAAGGAGAGGGAGAGAGTGTGGGTGGGAATTTCTGTATTAAAGCAGGTTCTCTCAAGGTATTTGGGTTGCCCATTCCATGATGTGATATACAGTCAGTCCCCGGGTTACATGGATCCGACTTACATTGGATCCCTAGTTACAAACGGGGTGAGGCAACCCCGCACTAGCTGCTTCCCCCCAGCAGACCAGGGAGACACGAAGCTAGCGCCCCTCCCCCAGCAGACCAGGGAGACGCGGAGCAGCTTTTCTCAGCAGACACCTCAGCTTGAGAATAAAGGACTGAGGGAAGTGAGGTGTGGGAGAATAAAACTGAGCTCTGGAGAAATGTTTGGCTAGAGTTTCCCCTACAATATGTACCAGTTCCGACTTACATACAAATTCAACTTAAGAACAAACCTACAGTCCCTATCTTGTACGTAACCCGGGGACTGCCTGTATTTCTTTTTGAGTTTTTGGCTAGCTATTCCTCAAAATCTTTTTTTGCTTTTCTTATTACATTTTTACACTTAATTTGACAGTGTTTATGTTCCTTTCTATTTATCGCACTAGGATTGGACTTCCACTTCTTAAAAGATGCCTTTTTGTCCCTCACTGTTTCTTTTACATGGTGGCTAAACCATGGTGACTCTTTTTTAGGTCTCTTGCTATGTTTTTTAATTTGGGATATACATTTAAGTTGGGCCTCTATTATGGTGTCTTTAAAAAGTTTCCATGCAGCTTGCAGGGATTTGGCTCTAGTCACTGTGTCTTTTAATTTCTGCTTAACTAACCTCCTCATTTTTGGGTAATTCCCCTTTTTTAAATTAAGTGCCAGAGTTCTGGACTGCTGAGGTGTTCTTCCCACCACAGGAATGCTAAATGTTATTATGGTCACTATTCCCAAGTGGTCCTGTAACAGTTATCTCCTGGACCTGCTCCTGAGCTCCACTCAGGACTAAATCGAGAATTGCCTCTCCCCTTGTGGGTTCCTGTACCAGTTGCTCCAAGAAGTAGTCATTTAAGCCATTGAGAAATTTTATCTCTGGTTCTCTTCCTGAGGTGACATGTATCCAATCAAAATGGGGATAATTAAAATCCCCCATTATTATAGAGTTCTTTATTTTGGTAGCCTCTCTAATCTCCCTCAGCATTTCAATGTCAGTATTGCTGTCCTGGTTAGGGGGTCGATAATATATCCCTACTGCTAATTTCTTATTATTGGAGCATGGAATTACTATCCATATCGATTCTATGGAATATGTTGATTCATTTAATATTTTTATTTCATTTGATTCTACATTATCTTTCACATGCAGTGCCACCCCGCCACCCACCCGGCCTGCTCTATCCTTTTGATGTATTTTATATCCCGGTATGATTGTGTCCCACAGATTTTCCTCATTCTACCAGGTTTCAGTGATGCCTATTTGTTAATCTCCTCCTTTAATACGAGGTACTCTAGTTCACCTATCTTATTAGTCAGACTCCTAGCATTTGTGTAGAAGCACTTTAAAAAATTTGCCACTGCTTATTTGTCTGCCCTTTTCTGATGCATTGGATTCATTTATATGCGGTTGTTTGTCTGCTCTAGCCCATGGTTTGTCCTCTCCCCTCCTCTCTTTCTGACTATAGCTTAGAGAATGTCTATCAATGGATTCTCCTCTAAGAGAAGTCTCCCTCCAATTTACGTGCATCTCCACACCAATCGGTTTCCCCCCATCTCTTAGTTTAAAAACTGCTCTACGGCCTTTTTAATGTTTAGTGCCATCAGTCTGGTTCCAACCTGGTTTAGGTGGAGCCCATCCTTCCTGTATAGGCTCCCCCTCTCCCAAAAGTGCATGCATCTGACGAAGTGGGTCTTTGCCCACGAAAGCTTATGCTCCAACACTTCAGTTAGTCTATAAGGTGCCACAGGACTCCTCGCCACTCAGGTAAGATTGTCAGTGTTCTTGTGGAAATACTATGCTGCTCCCGTTCGGGCAAAAGCCCTCTCGCGCAAATGCTTTTGCGCAAGAGAGGCAGTGTAGACAACGCAGTATTGTTTTGCGCAAAAAAGCCCCGATGGCGAAAATGGCGATCGGGGCTTTCTTGCACAAAAGCGCGTCTAGATTGGCTCGGATGCTTTTCTGCAAAAAGTGCTTTTGCGGAGAAGTGTCCGTGCCAATCTAGAAGCTCTTTTCTGCAAATGCTTTTAACGGAAAAACTTTTCCATTAAAAGCATTCGCGGAAAATGATGCCAGTCTAGACGTAGCCCTAGAGTTCTTTGAGGGGGTCAACAAACATGTGAACAGGGGGATCCAGTGGATATAGTGTGCTCAGATTTCCAGAAAGCCTTTGACAAGGTCCCTCACCAAAGGCTCTTAAGTAAAGTAAGTTGTCATGGCATAAGAGGGATAATGAGGAAGACTGATAATGCTAAAAGATAGGAAACAAAGGGTAGGAATAAATGGTCAATTTTAAGAATGGAAAGAGGTAAGTAGTAGTGTCCCCCAAAGGCCATACGAGGACCATACTACTCAACCTATTCATAAATTATCTGGAGAAAAGGGTAAACAGGGAGGTGGCAAAATTTACAGATGATGCCAAACTACTCAAGAGAGTTAAGACCAAAGCAGACTGCGAAGAACTTCGAAAGGATCTCACCAAACTAAGTGACTGGGCAACAAAATGACAAATGAAATTTAATGTGGATAAATGCAAAGTAGTGCGCATTGAAAAACATCATCCTAACTATCCTTATAAAATGATGGAGACTAAATTATTACTTTTGAACAAGACCCAGGCTATGTCTACACTACAGAGTTTTTCCAAAGAACTTCACTCACGTCCACACTGCAATTGTGTTCTTTCGAGAAAAAAAAATCAAAAGAACAAAAAGAGTTTTTTCCGACATTGGTAAACCTCTTTCTATGAGGAAGAAGCCTTTTATGGATGGGGAAGAGGGAGTTCTTTTGAAAGAAAAGGAAAGAGAAAAAAGCACAGATGCCCTGGTAAAGAAGCCTGCAGTCTAGACGTAGCCCCAGTGACTTTACACTAGCAACAGAATAAGTAATTCAAGTCTCTCTGCCTCACCATGTCCCTCTTGGTCACATCCTACTCACATCCCACTGCCAGAAGGCCTTTTACACACTTCCTCTCTCCTCCTGCTCTGGGAAAGGATGCAGCCTAAGGAGGATGCAGCAAAGTCATCTCTGCAGGTTTTGCATCAAAGCTTTGCATTCTCCTAAGCAAGGGGAATCTTCCAATGACTATTTCCAACCATTTTAAGGCTACATAAGCAGTGCAAAGTGGCTTTAGCAGAAAAGGCACTCTAATGTCCTATGTTTATCTGAAAAAGTCTCCAAGGAAACTTTTGGGGTTTGCCCATCACTGCTAAAGACCGCATTTTCGTAATGTTTAGAATACAGAGTTCTCTCATCTCATTTTCTTTTCATTTTTCCCAGAGGAGAAGAAAAGCCAAATAGATAAAAACATAGCTTTCTGGCTGGGGCATCAAGGCCCTAACAATTGTTTAGTAAGAATTCTTCATTCCTCTTATCACTAAGCTTGAAATTTAAAAATGTCAAGAATATTTTCATTTTGACCACTAACTGGCTTTCTAATTGCCACACTGTTTCAAACACACGTTGGCCTTTGCACTGTTACACACCATATATTTGCATGCTATTCCCATTTTACTTTACATAATGGATTTTATGAAAGAAAGTGAAATTGGAGCTATTTGTACTTTAAACAATCACTTTACAAACCAGAAGAGTGCATTGTTTTCTGATATTGGTATATCCTCTCAAATAAATACAGTGATAAAAATGTGATCATGTGTAGAAAAAAAATATGCAGTATTCAAATTCTGTGCAATTTGTTAAGTAATCACTACATAAGTGGTAGTTCAAGAGGGGGAACTTTATTCATCATATTCATAATACACCATCAACTTACGGGGCGGATCTTGTCTTTGTTAGTCTTAGGCATACTAGAGCTTGGTGGGGAGAGAGATGTGAATCAGCATAGGCAGGATGAATCTCTGAGTATTGCTTTTATTTAAAAAAAAAAGTGCACATCCCAGTAACACTTATTGCTATTCTTCGGCTATCCCTCATTGTGAGGATGTCATTTGCCAAAGGAGGTTCATTAGGGAAGAAGAGGTTTAGGTGGGTGAGAAAGGGTTTAGGTGGGTTTAAGGAGTTCAGGCTCTGCAGATTTTGCCACAGAAGTGACTGATGTGATCTTGGAGAAGACCGTTATTGGCTGGAGTGTTGTGCTCTACTTATTGCTATAATGGCATCTTGAGTCACTAGATGGTGCTGCTGCAGGTAATTTTAAAACAAGACTGTCTTAAGCCAAAATTCTAAAAGTTGGATGTCTCACATAATACACCAAAATCTAAACATGGATTTAGATTCCTAACTGTAGGTACTGAACTATGAAAACTTTGGGTATATACAGTAAAACTCCAATTGTCCGGCATCCAGTGGTCCGGCACTCCCGATAGTCCGGCACCAACTGGAACCCAGAAGTGCTCCGGCAGCTGCTTCAAGAAGTTGTTAGTCAATTACACTACCACCGGATGGATCCGCAGGTGACAAGAAGTCAGCCAGTGGGATTGTAATTGACTAACAACTTCTTGAAGCAGCTGCCTGCCTCTCGCCCCCTCTTTGCCGCTGCCGCTTCCCTGCCAAGTCCCCACTCCCCCGCCCCCACTAGAGAGAGGCAGTGCGGGTCCCGGCAGACCTGTCACAACCCCCCACCGGAGTACCTCCTGATAGTCCATCATATCCGATAATCTGGCACCACCTGGGTCCCAAAGGTGCCGGATTATCGGAAGTCTACTGTATCTTGAAAAATACTTATGGATAGTTCTAAACCAGTTCTTTCAGAAGCCATGTAAATAACCAGTAATCTTGTTCTTTCTGTGGTTCATATTTATATACAGGAAGCTATGACCCACCGGAGTACCTCCTGATAGTCCATCATATCCGATAATCTGGCACCACCTGGGTCCCAAAGGTGCCGGATTATCGGAAGTCTACTGTATCTTGAAAAATACTTATGGATAGTTCTAAACCAGTTCTTTCAGAAGCCATGTAAATAACCAGTAATCTTGTTCTTTCTGTGGTTCATATTTATATACAGGAAGCT